CCCCCCCCCCACTGACGGTTTTTACCGGGCTCACGAAGCCGTCGTACCGGGCTGGCTGGGTAAGAAGAGAAAAGAAAGAGGGGAGATGGAGGGAAAGAGAAAGAAGGGGAAAGAAAGAGAAAGAAAAAGAGAAGAGAAAAATAAAGACAAGAATAAAAAGGAAGATATAATGAACAGATATCACAATACACCTGCCTGCAACCCATTCTCCACTTCAAAAAGTGTCCATAGCGCATTTGATCTAAGCAGCCAGGTATTCTCCGCAGTGGCGTAATAACAGGGGGACAAGTGGAAAATATCCAGCTGTGGAAAGTCTTTCCCCATTGAATGCCCTTTTCACCCCGGAAAGTGCCTGAAAATCTCAAATTTTAAATCGCATATTTTGTTGAAGTAGGCCAATTTCCTCTAAAAATTGCACATTTTAGGGAGTTTTGATCAATTCCAACGAAATTAGAATTTAAAGAAACAAACATTTTTTCGCGCGCTACGCGCGCATTTTTTATGTTAAAGCTTGTGCTTGCTCACCTTTGCCTTCTAAGTTATAACACATAGTCCCAAACTCAAGAAAGAAAATTTAAGATAGATCGTTTAACCTATTAAAAAAGGGCCTCAATGTGTAATGATGTTGAAAGAATATGTTTGTAATAAATAAAGCCATAAGGAAAATATTTATATTCAGTTTAAAAAAAAAACGAGTGTGGCCATATATAACATAAGAGCATTTCTTGTTGAGGTAGGCCAATTTTCTCTAAAAATTGCACAATTAGGGAGTTTTGATCAATTTCGACGAAATTAGAATTAAAAGCACAAACAAATTGTTCGTGCGCTTCGCGCGCATTTGTTAGGGTTGAAGCTTGTGCTTGCCCTCATTTGCCTTCTAAGTTATTTAAAAACATAATAGTCCCGAAACTTGAGAAAGAAAATTTAATATAGATCGTTTTACCTAAAAGAAGGGCCTCAATGTGTAATGATGGTGAAAGAATAGGCCTATGAATTGTAATAAATAAAACCACGATGAAAATGCTTATTTAGTTCCAAACACACGCGTGTGCCCTATATTAATATTAAAATAAGCCATGCCGTATTGTTTTC